TCTGTGGAAATAAGCCCAGGCTGTCCAACGTTTCCTCATGACAAACCCTGTATTTCAGTTATCAATCCAATCAAACTTCTCTGATGGGCTCCAGCACATTTACAACCTTCTGTTTGTCGTGATAGTGTGATGGAAATCAAGCCCCACTATTCATGCAGTTGTCACAGATCTGATTCATCCACTGAATTGCTTAATTTTACCTAAATGTCTAATTTAGATCAAAAGTATATTCATACTAGGCTCCTTTTCCATTAATAAGAAAATAACTGGCTAAAAATACATTTGATTACAGTAATGGCAAAATATAGATAAGTTGAATTGTAAAACTATAACCTTGTAACATAGGTGCTATCCCTTTGTTAAAATTCCCAGACACATATAAACAGGTACAAGAAGATATGGTTCAGCACTCAAATACTGTAGGTGGAAGAAGATTTTACAAAAAAGTAAAGGGTATAGTTCTGGTACCAAGCCAGACAACAGATTCTGATAAGTTGTTTTCTTTCAACTCCTTTTGATTCTTTGTTAATAACACGAGGCTGTGGTTACACTAATTTTTGGTTATTTATTCACGGGTTGAGCATTTGCCTCTCTAGTGTCTCTGAAGGCACTTTTTTTACCCCTATTGTTTTACTGCACACAGAGGAAGAGAAAGATGGATGCTTTTTCATCACAGGCTGGATGTTTCTGTTGCATTGCCTGTATGCAAAGTAGCAACTGTGGATCCAATCACATGGTTGTTATTTATGCTGAGGCCTTCTGAGCCTACATCAGCTCACCCCAATTGAAAAATCAAGCAAAAGGCTGTCTCTGGGCAAAATTTTATTGAACCCACAGATAAGGAGTGCTCCATCACTGCTTGGATACATTGTAGATACAACTCACAATGTGTTCCAATAACACGTTTATAAAACTGCAAATATCTTCTTACACTGTTTCATTGGTTTAAAGTAGAAATTAGCCCACAGTCCTTTTTTCCATAATAACAGCAGAGATACTCAGCAGGTCTGGCAGCCTCTACTTTCAGTTTTGAAGAAGTGTCCTTTTGGACTGGAAATGCTAACTCTTTTCTCCTCAGATGCTGTCAGATCTGCTGAATTTTTATTGTTTTTATTTTAGATATCCAGTATTTGTAGTATTTCACTTTTATTCTTACTTTATGTTCAATTCCTCTTGAAATAAAGGATAGCACTCCATTAAATTTCTTAATTACGTGCTGTGCTTGCATTTGAACTTTTAGTGACATGTGCACTAGAACATCTAGATCTCTTTGCTCCTCAGAATTCTGAGTGCCCGGCAATAACCTCCTCAATGATTCTAACGCCTTCCCCATGCTAGATGTCAAGTTAAATGGCCTATTATTTCCTTTTTCTGCCCCCATCCCTTCTTGAATAGATGGGTTATATTTGCTACCTTACAATCTGATGGAACCTTTCCAATATCCACTGAATTTTGGAAAATTATCAGCAACTACAAACCGTTATAGGGGAGGCAATGGCCTAGTGGTATCATCACTGCACAGTTTATCCAGAGTCCCAGATAATGTTCTGGGGACCAGGGTTCAAATCCTATGGCAGATGGTGGAATTTGAATTTCATAAAATGTCTGGAATTAAGAATCTAATGATGACCATGAATCCATTACCAATTGTCAGGAAAAACCCAACTGGTTCACTAATGTCCTTTAGGGAAGGAAGCTGCCATCTTTTCCTGGTCTGGCCTACATGTGACTCCAGACCCACAGCAATGTGATTAACTCTGAACTGCCCTCTGAGCAATTAGGGATGGGCAATAAATGCTGCCTGGCCAGCGACGCTCTCATCCTATTAATGAATAAAAAAATTACTACCCAATTAGCCATCTCTTTTATTCAGACCCTAGGAGGAGGTCCATCAGGACCTGGGTACTCGTCATCCTGCGATTCAATTAGCTTGTTCAGCACTGCTTTCCCTGTGATTGTAATTTCACTGAATTCCTCTCTCCAGTTATTATAGAATGTTTTTGTATCCTCACTAGTGAAGAAAGCAAAATATTTATCATTTAATCTGCTGTTTCCATGTTATGTATTACTGACATCCCATTCTCTCTCTCTGGAGGACCAAAGTTCTCTTGACTTACTCTTTTCCTTGTCAGATACCAGTAGAAATTTTGGTTATCTGTTTTTACATTTTCTAATTAGTTTCCTCTCATTTTATAATTTCTTTTTCCCGATCATTCTCTGCTGTTTCCCATGCTAGATGTCATGTGCTGACTAATTGTCTGATCTGTCCCTCATATTTGTGTAATTATGTGCTTTTCCTTTAGTTTGATGTTTTCATTGACAGCTTTAATTACTTATGGATGATGAGCCCTCCCCTTAGAGTTTTTCTTTATGGTAAGAAGAATAGACTTCGTCCTGGTTTCCAGAAATATCACCTTAAATGTCTGTCACTGCTTTTCAATTGACCTATCTCTCCTAACTTGGTATCCCAGTGTGCTCTTACTAGCTCAGGTTTCACACCCACAGAATTTCACTTACTTCAGATTATAATTCTAGTCTTGGACCTGCTGTTCTCCCTTCCAAACTAAGTGTAAAATTCAATTATGTTATGATCACTGCTGCCTAAGGCTGTCTACTCTGACATCATTACTCCTGTCACATTACACAATTATTGTTTCAGAAATGCTGCCTTAAGAAATTATCTTGGAAATATTCTGTGAACTCCCCATGCAGGCAACCATTCCCAATTTTTCCAGTTTGTGTAGATTAAAATTGCTTATGATTATTGTGTCTCTTTTTTACACAAGTACTCAATATTTCTTGTAGTATACTTTATCCCACAAGTTGCTACTGTTGATGACTCCTACTAATGACAAGTTTACCCAACTAATTCTCACGTCCACCCAAACTAATTCTACATTCTGATCTATTCAACTAAGGTGGTCTGTAACCATTGCACCAATGGCATCCTTGATTATCAATGCTATCCTTCCACCTTTACTGAGCTTCCTATTTTTCTTCCATGTCGTGTACCCCATAATATTCAGGACCCAATCTTTGCCACTTTGCAGCCCAGCAATGTCTCTGTAATGGATGTCAAATCAAATTTATTTACTTCAATGTGCACTATCGATTCATTTAATTTCTGGATACTATATGCCTTAAGATACAGAGCCTTTAACCTTGTCTTCTTGTTGTCTTTGTAACATCTAGCCTTGACTGCTGGTGTATTCTATCAATAATAGAGATTGTTACCGTTGACGTTCTCGTCTTCAAATTGGTGCCTGGCTCCTCATATTACCTGAGTAGAACTTCTTTCCAAGCCCCGTGTTGTTGGTACTTGCATAACCCATGACAACTGGATCCACTCTTTGTTTTTAATAACTGCTTTAAGTATCAATATTAACATTTTTGTGCTTCCTATTTATTGATCTTCCCTAACTCAGGTGTCCTTAAGCAGGCTATTTGCACAATCCCTTTATATGAAGCACTTAACAGCCGATCAGCTAACAAGACTCCTATAAAGACAACCTTTATTTTTACTATATTTTTTAAATTAAACATTTTGTGCCATCTCCTAGCAGCTGAATTGGTGCAATCCAAATTGATAAGGAAAATCAAAGTTACAGTTTCTTCCCTTACTTCACTGAATTCCCCATACTAACCAAACTCCTAAGCTTTGAGATGAGATCACCTGTCATGCTCTGTCAAAGGCTGTAGAGGGGGCAACAAGGGTGAGGAGTAATCGTGTTCTTTTGCTGCTGTCATGATTTGTGAATTTCAGAGCCATTTCTACATGGCAGTGTGGAAACCTATCTGAAGGATTCAAACATGAATTCAGCCCCTTCCAGCCTCCCTCGTTTTGATTTCTTTAATGTAAGTTCGGAAACAAAATATAACATGTAATGTAATGGTACATTGCCCATCTTTGAGTTCTCTGCAAACTTTGATATGATCAACCTCAGCAATTTTCTTCATTCGCTACTCTTGCATTGTTCAACTCAGCAGAACGGCAAATGCTTGCTTCCACTCTTGCTGATTTGTAAATATTGGGAATATCCTTCCTCCTATCTACACTGTTGATTTTTGAAGGTATACCCTCAGCTGCTTCCGTTCCATATGACTGACTTTAGCAACATAATCTCTCTCAGTTGTGAATCACCTTCCTCTTGTATATGGGTAACACCATCGCTATATCTCTAATCCTTCACACTGTTAGACTGCTTTTCTACTATCTGGCCTTGGATTCTTATGCATTCTTCTTTGAGGGAAAATTCAGGGAATAATCTTCAGCTCTGGACACATCATTTCCTTAGACCACTTTCCCAGACTGTGTACCAGATTGTTTGCAACCTCAGTCCATGTTTAGCCCCAGTTTAGTCTGTAATTATATTCCATTTCCATCACGAATACTTCCTACTTCCTACCTCCACCTCTAATGTTGTAGTTGCTGCAACTGTAACCCTCATACATATCCTGCATAAATATGAAGTGTTGTCCTATTGTGTCCTTTCCAAAGTTAGTTAACTATTCCTTAATTGTGTTTTCTTTTAACAGGTAATACAACTCATTGAGGGGAAGGCCTCAGCTTATGTATTTGCCAGTCCCGGTTGTAAGAAATGGGATACCTGTGCTCCTGAGGCTATCCTTCATGCTGTTTCAGGTAGCTGTTTCTTTATATTATCAAATCTGAATTAGCCTCAAACTAAAATTTGCGAGCAAACAATGGAATAAAATATAATCTGTGTGTAGACTTGCCCAGCTTGATTTTGATTATCAAAGAGCCTGTCAAACTTGGCTTCGAGTTGTGATAGCAGGGTATGATCTTGGAGCTAAATTTAACGCATAGATTAACTGGCACTTTTGAATGGACTGAAAAATGTGAATGTTTCCTCCTTATCCTCCATGACTTGGATACAGCCTTTGTCATGGTTAACTGCATCATCTTCCAGGACTGCCTCTTCACTGTTGTCCAGCTGAATGAGACTGCTGTCACACAGTTTTCCTTCTTATCTATCTAGTCACGAGCAGAAAATCACTTGCAGTTTCTTGCTTGTCTTTTTGTCCACACACTGCTACTTTTCATGGTCCTCCTCCTGTTTCTCATCTGGATGCTGCCCCGAGATGATGATTTGAAACACAGCATTAGTTTTCACATTTTAGATGACAACACCCAGCTATACCTCGCATCAATTTTCTCTTAACTCCTCCACTGTTGCTACTTTATTAGACTGCTTTTCCAACATCTGGACCTTAATGATTAGAAGTTTCCTCCAATTAAATATTTCATCTCTCTTCCCTACCCATAGACTCTGTCCCTCTCCTCCCTAGGAGAAATCTGAGGTTAAATCAGTCTGTTTAGAAGCTTGGTGTCACATTTAAAGTCATAATGTGCTTCTGATCACACTTTACACCTATTTTTACCTCTGTAACATTACCATACATAGTCTGGTTATTAGAACCTTCATTAGATTCAAGAGGTAGCAACAGGGTACTGCCTGGGTGAACCAATTCCAGTAGCTGCAAATAAAACACCCACATTGTCTTGTTTGGCAAATGTTTTATTGTAATTATTTTTATTTCTAGGTAAACTGACAGATATTCATGGGAATCCCTTGCAATATCATAAAGATGTGAAGCATATGAACTCAGCTGGAGTGCTTGCAACTTTAAGGAACTTTGACTACTATGCAAGCCATGTTCCTGACTCTGTTAAAAAGGAACTAGTTCCCTAAAAAAAAATTCTAATATGCTGCCTTTGTAACCTCGAATGACCAAATGTCTGAAATGTTCTTTTGATTTATTCTATTTACTTGTTCAAATAAGTTGCAATCTTGAGAATATTAATATGAGGGAGTTCTTTTTACTTTGCAGTACAAGTGCTGATGTTCAGAGCTACTGTCTGCCTGTTTTGTGGTTGTGCAGAATTCACTTGAGTTCGTACTTACACACTTTGGGTCAGCTGAAACTAATCTTGGTTGCAGAAACATTTAGTGTATCAAATGATTTTTTTTTCTTATGAATTGACTGAACTGATGCAATTTTTTTATGGTTCTCTACAACAATATTTGTTCTCAGTTTTCATGGGCTGCCTTCTATTGCATTTTGTCCTCATTGGTGAAGCTAAATACAGTTTGATGTTTGTTATTTCTGCACAATGGAAAATTAGTTTCTTGAGTTTGACAAACTCGTTATTTGCATAGATTCTCACTAATCTTCCATCTTTTCTGGTGTGGAGAAGTAAGTGAATGTTTGCAAGAAAATGTAATTTCTTTATATTTGACATCATTGATTTAAATAAATAGCAATTGATACTTTACAGTGTGCTGTTTCAGAGAAATGATGTTTGGTTTTGGCCCACCCAGCAAAGGGCAGGTGGAGTGCTGTGGATGATTATACTGGCACTGACTAACCAGCCCATTTTGGGAAGCTTTGCTGTGCTAGCTGTGTTGACTAAGGTGCTCAGAAAGCCTTCCCTTGAAGCCAACTAAAATAGTTAAGTTCATAAAGAGCTTGTTAGTGGCTTCGGAGGATATAATTTTGAAGGGAATGCATAAGTCTTGCATCAGCTGAAGGGAGCTAGGTACAGAGTGGGAAGCTGTAGATCTCCCAAGGCATCACCTTAGCCTCATAAAATCAGTGGGAATATGGAGAAAGCAGTGTGGAGCTGGAGGAACACAGCAGGCCAGGTGGCATCAGAGGAACAGGAAAGCTGATGCTTCGGGCCAGGACCCTTCTTCAGAATATGGAGAACCCCTTTCTTTTTGCAGGTTGTAGGAGCGTTTTTCCTGACCTGGGACAAAGATTCAGGAGGCAGGAAGGATTCAGGAAAGTGGAAGATACTTATTCAAGCAGAAACCAGTTTATGCAGGGAGAGGGCTAAGGGATCTTCCCTGAATCTGGTTTCAGAAAATAGATCAATGACACACCTGCTTTTACAAAGAAATACAGCATTTTTATACATTTTGTGTTACAATAATCAAATGCAACATATTCGCTGTCCTTTCCCTAACCCAAACACCCAATCCCATGGGACACCTAATCAATGATAGGTCCTTCTGTGGACAGCCCCAGGTTCCCATGATCTTATGGTATTCGCTAGACATTGTAATCTCTGGGCCTTGCGATCTTTCTATGCATCCTATTCATTCACTTTCCAAAGGCTTAATGGCTATACTCCTTCGAGTCTTTCTCAGGCTTGTTTATCTGAAAGGATAGCTCGAATTCTATTACCCATTGTATTTTGGTGCTATCTTTTATCACATTCAGTTACTCCTTTTATTTTCCACTGTCCCAATTACATAATGTACAAATAAAAAGTCAGTTAGTTAAAGCAATTAGTTAAAAGGTTAACTTCCGTTATAAAGTTAATTGTAAGTATACAACTACTTCTGTCAGCATTTTGTAATTCATGGGTTGTGATCAATCTATCTTGTTCGGGACATAAGAGAAGGTGTCTCCTAAGGCGAGTTAATCTTCACATCTAAGCTGAAATTTTTTTTGAGGCTTGTATTATATCCTGTTTATGTATTGAAACCAACTTCTATGATTAGAGCATTTTTAAATAGAAACTATTTAATATTGCTGGTAGCTTTAAAGAGGCAACTGTTTACTATGAAATAACTTGATCAGATACAAGGATAACAGCTAAAGGACCTGATCTAGCACCTGATGTCATTAATTTACTGGGATTATCATCCTTTCATTAATAAAGCTGGAATTGGTCATTTTTCTGCCCTAAGGCATCTTTTTATCAGAGCTGTCCTGGACGGGAACATATTGCGTTCTTTTACTAACCTTCGAGCAGTTTGTTCAAAGGTACCATTGTATTTCACTGTGAGCAGGCTGTTTAGCCTTGCTTCCTTCTGTCTGCCATCTAGTAAGCAGGTATGAGCTGCTTAGCATGTTCGGGGTCAAGTCACCTTTATATGGCCAAGTACAAGTCACCCCTACACAGGTGTTGCTGAGAGGGATCAGTCAATGTTCAGGTATTGAACATGTTCCTCAACCCCTGGCATTGCAGGGCTAGAAAAACAGGGGAAGCCTGTCTATGACAGTAGCAATGAAGAGAAGTTTTGGTGGAATTCTGAATTTTGAATAATGCATTCTGAACTTGCCTGGCTTTGGCTGCTGTTGCCTCCTACCAGTAAAAGCTGCAAATAGGAACTGTTGAAAATCCTGGGAAGTCTCCACAGGCTCTAGAGTCACCACTCATCACACATGGATGATGTGCTCTGTTGCAAGCAACTTGGTGGAGGTGTGGGGATGGGCAGACCTGGGGAAAGGACTGGTGGAACTGCAGGCTCAGTGGTGGACGGGGCATGGGTGATGGGTCAGAAGAGCCAGTGTCCAGAGTGGTGGAGATGGGGAGGAAAATAAGAAGGAACAGCTAAGTCAAGTTTCCATGGGGTTCAGCACACCTGGGATGGGATAGAAGTTGAGGGAGAAGCCAAGCCTGAACTTGAAACTGATTTTTTTTTTTCATCAGAATGCTTGTTACTCATGGTTGCAGAGGATGTAAATAACATTACTCAAGTTTCCAACGTTAGGTGAACTTTGCACTGAGTTAGTTATTGATTTTTGTCAAGTTTAAACTTGTGCACTGGAGGTGGGTGTGAAGAGTGACCTCTGATCTTCAGCAAAAATTAAGTTACGGAATTCTTCACTGCATTTAAAAATCTGACGACACAAATATTGTTCTTCATTCAGTTATATGCTTTATTGAAATTAGCTTTAAAATGCAAGAAGCTTCAATACTAGTTAATTGCAAAAATATAAAAACACCAGAATCTTAAACAATGCAATGCTGCATTTTGATAACCCAAGTTGGAGTTATTGCAAAGTGTTCTTCCTTAATACTTTTAGACTTCACAGAAATAGGCTCTGAACAACCTGGTTTAGATGAAGTAAGATTCTAAAATTAATTTGACAACTTGCCTCTGCTGTTCATTCAGACTTTAATGCTTTTGTTTGAGTTCTTAATTAAATCAAGTCCAAACAAGAATTCCTGCGAAAACAGGATAGAATGACCATACTGATTGACATGCTTTTGAAGCAGCCCAACTATTTACCCAGGAGAATGTAGTGAAAACCAAGGCTGAATTCTGCATGAGTATATAAAGGAATAATGTTCTTAAAAGTACTTCACAAACATATTTTCATATTTATAAGATTTATGTGATTTATAATACACAAACTTTGTCCTACTTTATTGCTGCTTAGTTTTTTTTTGCTAGCATCTAGGGTCACATTAATTGTCTAGGGTGGCATGGTGGAGCAGTGGTTAGCACTGCTGCCTCACAGCACAAGGAACCCAGATTTGATTTCACCTTCAGGTGATGGTGCAAACTCCACACAGACATTCTCCCCATGTCTGCGTGGGTTTCCTCCATGGTGGATTGCCATGCTAAATCGTCCATAGTGTCCAGGGATGTGCAGGATAAGTGGGTTGGCCATGGTAAATGTGGGATTATGGGGATAGGGTGGGTTTAGGTGGGATGCTCTTTGTAGGGTCGCTGTGGACTCAATGGGCTGAATGGCCTGCTTCCAGACTTTAGGGATTCTATGATTCTGTAAAACCTTTATTTTCTATCAACAATTTAAAAAAATCTAATTTGCTACATATTTCTGGGATAGGTAAAGTTTGCTGCAGTTTGGAATGAGACACCATGTTGTAATAAAGTATAAAATGTTGTTTTCCCTTTAATTTATATTCTTGAGAATGTTCTGACGAGTACAAGACAAAATAGCTCAACAAAATGCCTTTTTTCAGCAATATTCATGCTCTCCTATTACGTGACTATGGTTTTTTTACATAACAGCAACAGCATATCTACATTTGTCAAGCATAATTACGCAGACCTCACAGAGCTTGCACAGTTACATTTTCTCCTCTGAACGCAGGACACAATCGTCTCCAATACACAAATATGGAGGTGCCCGTGTTGGTCTGGGGTGGACAAGGTCAGAAATCACATGACACTAGGTTAAAGTCTGACAGGTTTATTTGAAAATACAGGCTTATGGAGTCTCGCTTCTAACACCTGAAGAAGGAGCGAGACTCCAAAGCTTGTATTTTCAAATAAACCTGTTGGACTGTAACATGGTGTTGTGATTTTTGACCTTGCCCACACATGCAATGTGTGAATGATATCTGTCTTATTAACTGACGTCTAAAATGAGATTTACACATCTGAATATAAAGGATTGTGAAGGCTGCTTGTGGTGTCGTGAAAATGTCCCTGTGTCTAGGCCAGGACGCCAGGTTCAAGTCCCACCTTCTCTAGAGGTGTGTCGCAGTATTTGCATACAGGTTTATTTAAAGTTATCTATAAAAGGCTGTTTGTGCAAAGAACTAACCTGTACACTTGCAGTCCTCGTAACTACAGTTTGTAATCTCACAAAGGACCATAATAGATGTCATAGTGCTTAATTATGTAGCAAACATTTTATGTTTATCAAGACTGAGCCTCTGTTCTGCTGAAGACTTTTTGTGGGTATACTCCACTTGGGAACTCTTTGACTACCCAATACCAATAAGAAGGATTTGTGGCAATGAAAGCTAGACTCCAACAAATATACTATGCGGAGAACAGGATGAAAGTTATCAAGATGAGCAGAATGATCATGTGGTATTAACCCCTTTAAACCACTATCCCATACCACACCCTCTCCGATCCCGTGTGCATGTCTGCTTTGAGGTTTAATAAATACGTGGCAGATAGGCAGAATATGGCCATTTGTCATATCTCTGTGTGAAAATAAACCCAGGTGCCCGCATGGCTGTCACTTGTATGACAAGTCCCCCGAACAGTGGTTGAATCAACTTCAATAGATCCTTTTTACGCTGAAACAACTTCAGTCGCTCAGGAGAACCGGTACCATCTACGTGTTGCTCGGAGAAGAGGGAAGATTGGGGCGTGACGCCGGAAGTGACGTTGAGGTGCTGGGGGCGGTGTTGACGATGTGACACCCGGAAGTGGTGCCGGTTCGCTTCATCGTGGAAGCGGGTCTGCGAGGAAGCGGCTGCTGATCGCCGGCGGTACCTGTCAGTCGGTTGGCGGTTATTAACAGTACGGCAGATGGCTCTGAATCTGTCAGTGAATATCTCCAGCCCTTGCTTAGGTGAGTGTCGGCTGGGGCCGGGCCGGGTCAGTGGAGGGGCGTGAAGCCGCTTGGCCCACTGCCACACACGGTATTGCATCATGTGTGGGGCAGCCTGATCCTGGAGCCTGGGATTAACAGCATGTCCTTGGAGGATGGGGTGGGTGACTGGCGGGGGGTGGAATCTGCGCTTCAATATGTAGAATCGTACGAACTTTTAAAATCAGCACTGTCAGTTATTGACAATCTGTGATTATGTATTAACATTTTTTTAAAAAGCAGAAAAATATGTACCTGTAAAACGAAGCTAGGTTTCGCTTTCACACTGTTCCCTGGCATTTTCGTTTTACCCCCGCCATTTACAACGTTTTGCACTTGTTCTGGTTTCACTGCTGTGACTATGTCCAATATTGTATAACATTTTAATGAAGAACTATATATTTAAAGTCGGTGTTGTTAATATGACTGTCACTCGCCAATTTAATTAACGTGGCACTTTCGATCATATTCTGCACTGGAATTTTTTGCTCTTTAATAACTTCTCATGTTTTTAAAAAATCTTTGTTCTGATCAAAAATATTCAATCACACTGAAATTTGAAATATGTAACTTTAACCATTTTTCCCTATTTTTTAATAAAATTATTTTAAGTTTGAACCTATGAGTTTGCATGTGTATTTTTTAAAGGTGCGGCGAATAAATGACATGGTGTTATTTATGTTCTGGGGATATCGAGGCCACGTTTTGAGCTATGCAGACTTTTTAAATTGTACACTGAATGGGTGTGGTTTTGATTATTTTTTTTTTAGAAAGTCTTGTTGCCTTCTTTAAATCTGTTCTAGAGTGGTGTTGGCAGGGATTTTTTTTATTATTCAAACATGGGATGTGGTAGTTCCTGGCAAGCTAGCATCCATAATTGCCCTTTAGGAAGTGGTGATGAGCTGTCATCTTGTATTACGGTAATCCATACAATGAAGCTGTTATTAAATTGGACAATCCAGAATTTTAACCCAGTGATAGTGAAGGACCTGTGATTTATTTCCAAGTTCTGAATGGTGTGTGTGTTGGAGGGGAGCATGTAGGTAGTGAGAGAGAGATAGTAGGAACTGCCGATGCTGGAGAAGCTGAGATAACAAGGTGTAGAGCTGGATGAACACAGCAGGCCGAGCAGGAGAGCTGACGTTTCGATTCTGGACCCTTCTTCAGAAAGTCATCACTTGCAGTAGTGACTTTTTTTTTGTCTGCTGCCCTGGTACTTTCTAAGTGACAGGGTGGTTTGCAAGTCATTATCAAAGGAGGCTTGGTGGGTTGCTGCAGTACACTTGGTACATAGTCTGCCGCAATGGTCATAATGAAGGTAGTGAATGTTAAGTTAGATGAGGTGCCAATCAACTGAGCTGCTTTCATTTTGGATGGTGTCATGCTTGAGTTGTTGGGTCTGACTGTTCCATTACACTTCAGCCCCATGCTCCTGATCTTTGGGCATCTGGTGTGGAGGAGTGTGGGCAAGTGGGAGACCCACAAGGAGATCCTGCTCCTTACCAGGCTGGCTATAAACAGGAACAAAAACATAGTTGCTGGAAAAGCTCAGCAGGTCTGGCAGCATCTGTGAAGGAGAAAACAGAGTTAACGTTTTGGGTCTGGTGACCCTTCCTCAGAACTGGCTATAAACAGTTCTAGGCAGCGGGCCGTGGAGGGGGCTCATTTCGGCTGGCTGCCTGTCCCTCTTCTGTGAGTATGTTCGAGCCTGGGTGTCCTTGGCGAGGGAGCACACTGTGTCCACCAATGTTGTTGACACCTTTAGGGGAAGGTGGGCATCATGGATGGTGCATTGCTTTATTTCCCTATCCGGTTCTATTTTGATTTAATCCCTACCCTCTCCCTTCACTTTTTTTCCCACGTCAGCATTGTCCCTATTGGGCTTTGCTTGTTATTGGTTCCCTGCCACATGGGTGTTTTCCTGGTGGTGGAAATATTGAATGAAGTCTTTTACATGGTTTTTAAAAAAAAGATTTTATTAGGTTGAGAATGAATGCCGAGGGCTCACTGCCTTCTGATGGGTGGTACGGGGGCTCAGTGGTTATCGCTGCTGTCTCAAAGCACCAGGGACCCAGGTTTGATTCCAGCCTTGGGCGACTGTCTGTGTGGAGTTTGCACGTTATCCCTGTGTCTGCATGGGTTTCCTCTCAGAATTCAGAGATGTGCAGGTCAGGTTGATTGGCCATGTTAAATTGCCCATGGTGTCCAGGGATGTGCAGGCTCAGTGGATTAGCAATAGTAAATGCAGGGTTACAGGGATAAGGTAGCGGGCTGCTCTTTGGAGGGATGGTGTGAACTCAATAAGCAAATGGCCTGCTTCCATACTGTAGGGATTCTATGATATGTACAACTATGGTGCCACATCTCTTGGGTTTGTTCTGCCGTCAAGGTTGTTATTGTAGGAGTCTAGAATATTGGCTGAAAGGTTTAATTCAGTGACATGGCTATGGCAGGTTGTTATTCGACAACTATCTAAAATTTAGTCAAGGTCCACGGTTATCACAACGTTTCGCAGGGTCGACTAGGCTACGTGCATCTTATCGTATCTTGGGCTGCCCCAATGGTTGATTGCCTATCTTATTCTCATTAAATTTGGATATCTTTGATACAACTGAGAGGCCTGTTAGACTTTATCAGAAGATGATGTCGGTGTCACCCACATTGCTGTGGAGCTTGAGTCACAGATGGAGGAGACCAGGTTGTCATTACTGATAATAGCGTTTTATTCCAGATTTGTTTGTTTAATTTGCTGTGGCCTGAGGGTATGAAGAGAAATCCCAAAGAGGGCTGTGTTCTGTTCCATATTTCCATACTTCACATCTTTTTTTTTAAGAATGGAAAAAAAAGGCAACCTTGCTTGAGTCATAAAATGGCTGAGGCTGATCACATGATCTTATTTCTCGAAGCTTCTGGATCCTCTGTTGTATAGACAGTTCAGCGAAAACTGGCACGAAAAACCCAGGGATGAACCATTTGCCTCCAGCCAGCTCAGGACAGGGATAAACCTCAAAACCCTTTGTGTTAAACAGGAGCTAATTACTTTACAGTGCTTCACCTCTGGAAACTATGGGGGAGGTCAAGCTCCACTGTTAGTGTAATGACCTTCCAATTCACCCCTGAGATGGGCACTCAGCACCTGAAATGTCTGTTCTTGTCGTGATTGAAATTTGAGCTTGTTAAATTGTTTTAAGCTTACAAGTCAGTTGCTGTTTGACCTTCAGAGGAAGATTAGGACTCTGGGCTGAGTTGCCAGCCTGTCTTGGATACTCCATCTGTTTCCAAGATGCTGGCTGGAATGAAGCCTCCATTTTGCCTGTAAGAAGGAAAAACTACTGGACCCAGCTCACTGAGGAAAATATTTTTGAACACCGACCATTGGGAGTTTTAACTGATGCGAATTGGATTTTCTTTAATATACCTCTGGATTTGCCAAAATTGTAATTTATTATCTATCTCCTCTTCTATCTGTCTTAATTTCTTGAGTGCTTGTGTGTTTGAATGAAATAGCAGTTAATTTCCATGTGTTAAAAGTCACTTAAAAAGACTACTTCACATCTCCTGCTTTTCACGACACCCCCTGCCCCAAACAGTGTCATCTTTTCTCTTCCCTACCCTATCCCATCCCATCCCATCCCATGACTGTCTCTGGTTATCCAGGTTATGGCAGAAACACAAAAAATGACAGGCATTTAGAGAACATAACAGGAAGTTCAGAAGCAGAGAACCGTGAAGCCTCTGATGTCATCAGCAGCGAATTGGATTGGAAGTGATGTACAGAAAGAAACCCTCTTCATGGTGCTTCTGGGAATGAATTGACAGTAGGCTTGCTTTGCCCCTCCTAAGGCCAGTGTACCAAGATATTGTTGACTTACTCCTGTCCCTTACTGAGGTAGGCTGAAAGGTGTTTTTGTTAATAAACTCTATCTTTGATTTTTTTATTCTTTATTCGTTCATGGAATAAGAGCGTCTCTGGCTAGGCCAGCATTTATTGTCCATCCCTAATTGCCCAGAGGGCAGTTAAGAGTGGATTTGGAGTCATATGTAGGCCAGACCAGGTAAGGATGGCAGTTTTCTTCCCTGAAGGATATTAGTGAACCAGATGGATTTTTCCAACAATGGACCATGGATTAATGGTCATCATTAGATTCTTAATTCCAGATAGTTATTGAATTCAAATTCCACCATCTGCCACGGCAGGATTCGAACTCAAGTCCCCAGAACATTGTCTGGGTCTCTGGATTAACCATCCAGCAATAATACCACTAGGCCATCACCTCCCCCTTAAATTTAATCATATGGACAAGTAAGAGTGGTGTTGTTTCAAAAGTTGAAATCCAAAACATCTTTCAGCCTACCACAGTAAAAGACAGGAGTAAAACTCCCAAGTCCTTTCTTGCCTGTGTGCGCACAGATGTAAATGAGGGGGAAAGCAAAACACATGAAAACGGTTCTGTAGTCTTCCTTCATAAGATCTGTTGGATTGGTTCTTGCTAATCAATAGGTTTCTCCTCAATCTTCCTTTCTCTGAATGTTTTAACTGGCTTGCAAGAGGCATATGGTGGCTGGTTCACTTACGAAAGGTCGCTGACTTATCCAATTCCAAATCACAACATACAGCCTGATCTGAAGGAAAGAAAAGCTGATTTTCTTCAGGTTTAAAGTGGTTTACTGCAGACCTCGGAGCTTTTCTGGCTACTGCAGACGTGTTTCTCTGTGAATGGCTTGGGCTCTGAACAAGACAGCTAACTGATAGCCAATCACCTTGTGGCAGACAGTGGACCTTTGTCATTGACAATTGTCTCTAGTCCTCACCAATTGGTTTTGTTTGTAAACAACCCCTCCGCTCCATAGAATCCATATTGTGTGGAAACAGGCCATTCTGCCCAAAGAATCCATACCGAACCTCCAAAGAGCTTCCCACCGCCCTACCCTATAACCCTGCTTTTCCCATGGTTAATGCACCTAACCTACACGTCTCTGAACAGTATGGGTAATTTAGCATGGCCAGTCCACCTGACATGCATGTGTTTGGACTGTGGGAGGAAACTGGAGTACTCGGTGGAATCCCACGCAGACATGAGGAAAACGTGCAACCTCTGCATAGACAGTTGCCTGAGGGTGGAATCAAACCCAGGTCCCTGGTGAAGTGAGGCAGCAGTGCTAACCACTCATCACCAGGCAGCTCCAGTTCATCTGTACATTGCTGGAATCCACAGTTAAACAATCAGTGTTCACAATTGGTATCATTCCATACTCCCAAAGCATGCAGCCATTCCTTGGAAATTCCTGGGTTTCAAAACAGTTATTTCTTATATTAGTCCAATGTTTTTAAAAAGCTCAAGAATAAAAGGCATGGTCTTTACAGCATTGAGAGTATTCTTAAGCCCATTTTGTTAACTTGCATGCAATCTCCAGCAGGGTTTATTAATGAGTTGGAGTGCTAACTATTTTTCTTTTCAATTTTCTCACTGTTGCTTATGAATGCTAAAACGACTTTTAATGGTCACTGTTAGTATCAGCTGATTCTGCATTAATCATGCTACAGGATCAACTTTACCTGTTGGAAAGTGTAAATGCATTGATGTGTCATAGATGCGGATTGGATTGAATTTAGCCATCATTAATGGAATCGGCTACTGAGAGAAATGTCATGACCTTCATTGCTTACTGTACCATATTGAATATTTCTGTATATTTTGGGAATTAAATGTGTGTTTCTGCAGAAACTTTTTGAATGATTCTCTTGACCATTCAACTAGTAAGACTCAAACTGCCCTTTTGTGTCTTGGGTTTTTAGTATATTTAACATTCTGTATACCACCTAGCTGATTGCTGAAAGATGGTGTTTTAAATGTCCAAGTGTGTGTAAAAATTGGTGAAAATGATACTTTGAACAAAATTCCTTGATATTGTTTGATAGCATGTTTATGTTGGAAATTCCAGTGCTGCAAAGCAAATGTACTTAACACCATTGATTGGAGCCTTTTTGGTTAGTTGTCTGTATTTTAATTGTTTGGAATTGAGGGATCTTATGGTCACTTTCATTTGATCTGCAATTTTTAAAGCTTTAATTATGAAAGTTTGTGTGCACATTCGGGTGTCTCTTCACTGGGATGCATGTACTTTTTAAAAAACAATTCTGCACATGATGCATTCAGAATATACTGTGGTGCTGGTGGGGAGTGCCGACAGTCTGCTACACATAATGTATTACATGAATACAGTGAGTTCAACAAAATTATCTACTCTCAGCCTCCTCCCAGCATAATCCAAAAGTAAGAATGACTGAAAACTGTTGATGTTATGACAGATTCTGCACAAAATGTTAGATTGGATTTTTTTTTTTTTTTTTTTTTTTGGGGATTTTTTTCCTGTTTTTTTAGTTTTGAAAACAGCCATCCTCTGAGGCCACTATCACCATTCCTACATTGGAAACAGCAAAACTGCCATCAGCTTCTCCTTCTGTAATTGATAAACAGATCGCTCTTGTCTCTCCCACAATATATGATATTTATATTTTACTATGGTTTTTGAGTAATACAGCTGTGTTGTATAAGGAAAATTAAAATGCCTGATCCAATTCTAAGTCTTCTAACCTGTTACTTTGCAACTGATATAGATTTTTCTTAAAGTAGTAACAGGGCATCAACATTGATTGTGGGAGCAGCCAGTTTGAGCTGCTCTGACCAGTGGAATTGCTGCAGTGCAGATCAGATGCGCGCTGACATTGTGAAGTATCGATACTGAAGGATCGCATTTAGCTCTCATTCTTGACCTGTCCAGTGAAAGATTTTGAGGTGGTCTTGGATTCTGACACACTTGTAATGCTGTGTGTTACCACAGAATTGATTGGATAGATCAGTGGTTTTATATATATAATGATATTTCATTGTGTTTCTATTCTAAAAAGCAGCAATTTCAGTAGTCAGTGCAGCTAGACTTGATGCTAGAGTAATAATGGCATCTTCATTTTTACTTTCTGTACTTAGACTTCAAATAATGTTTGGTATTCATCTTGATCTCTTAATTTACCCATCACTGGCTTTGAGGTCCTCCTTTTCTTTCCTTAATTGAGATGTCAGGTTGAATGTTCCAAGCCTATTAAAAATGTGCAAAATTACAGAAGTTTGTGATCTTGCCACTTTTTTGGATCAATCCTACTTCAAAACGTCCTGTTCCTGCACCTAATCAATAAAATCTCTCATTATTCATTTAAAAAAATCTATAGATGTTGGAAATCTGAAGCAAAAACAATTCTGAAGAAGGATCACTGGACCTGAAATGTTAACTCTGCTTTCTGTCCAAAGATGCTGCCGGACCTGCTGAGTTTTTCCAGCAATTTCTGTTTTTATGTCTCATTATTTGTGTTATCTTGAAACACCAATGCAGCTGCATCTGGAATACTTGTATAGAGATTATTATTTAGTTGAAAGCATTTTTTTTATTAAAGTGTCTTTATCAATTTTGAGTCTTTTAGTGATATTAAAATTAGTCAATTCCTAGGCAATCAAAAGTCCATTCAGATAAATACTTTCAAATGGCTGATTAAAATTTTGGATAGAGATGGGATTTGTCACTACATTCATGTCTCGGAAAGAAATTAAACCTATTATGTGCGAAACTTGTGAAGAAACCGTTTTCACATAGAAAAGGAGAGGAGTATTTGTGGCAATGAATACAGATTTAAATCTCTGTCAAGCAGCAGTTACTTCTAGTGTTCAAACCACTATTGCAAATGCAAATCAGATGAATTGAATGTTGACATTCAGAATTAATACTTCACAAGTTTCTGTAATTTCCTGTGTGTAATGCATCTGCCATTTCAGTAGCTGTTTATTTTTTCAAAAAAATCAGTCTTTGTGAACTAAGTTTGGTATTGTTTGTGGCCAAGATTTCCTTATTCCCTCACCTAATATTGTGCTTTAATTCTTATGTGAAGAATCACTTCACTGAAACTGGATATTTAATATAAAACTGAGAATTAGAATGTTTGCTTTTTTTTCTTGCAGGTGTATTACTTACTGTGGAACATGTGAAAAATTCTGTCAATGTGTTGATTGAAGAGGGTAAAGAGAATGTGTTGCAAATTTCTGAGTAAGTATCCTCAGTTGCTTCTGTTGCTGCCATTTTAACTGAGGCAGCCTGTCTCTTTAAACATGCCGCAATCATCACTTCAGAATGATAGTCAATATTTAATTCTTCTGGAAATTATGGATTACTACTTAGAATATTTCAACATTTGAAATATTGCTGACCTCAGACTCTGTGATATGCTTAACTCCTCTACCCTGTGAAATAGCCTAAGAACCTTCTGTTTTCAAAAATGCAACGCCCTGCTGTCATCATGAGGGCCATTGGGAATGGGTAATAAAACTGATCTTGCTGGCCACAGCCACATTCCTCTCAAAAATCACAGATGGTGGCCTTGAGTTGCCATGCTGAGTTTATTCTTGTTATCTTTGCCTTTGTACTTGTCAAAGCTCCTTCAAAAGACTGCTCAAAATCTGTATCCATGTCTATGCTTGGGTCACAATTCCAAATTTCTTTATGACTCCCTGCTTTTGCAATGCACCTTGAGATGTTTTGTGCAAAACATCTGTTCCACAGATGTAAGTTGTTTTAAATGCTGATATTTGCAACATTGAGGAACTAATCATTAAGGTGATTATAATTATCATTATCATTATCATTTTTGGAATCCAGAATTACTGACTTGGTAATATTGTCATCCAGGACTTTAATGAGCCAGTGGACAATCCAAAAGCTTTATGGTCACTTTTTTTTTTTCCTTTCATTGATCGAAGCTTATTATCTCCAAACTTTTTAACCTGAAATAGAATTCTCAAATCACCATTGTGGAGTTTGAATTTGTGATTTCTGATCTGCTTTCCAAGAACATAAAAGGTGTACTAAAGTAGTAGTTAATTCTACTGTGAAGTAGATGATAAGCAGTAAGGTAACACGAATAGAATCATGGGACATCGCATTGGAGACGTGCTGGCCAATGGGCATAGAGGAGTTGAATCACGAAGAGACATTACAATGGAAAGTCCATGGGGTAATTGGCAATTAAGATGGAAGACGTTGTGGTTTAATCCATCCGGCCAAATTGGTACAAAAGTGAAACAGAAACCAAATTGAAAAGGGGAAGCTGTCACTTCCAAAGGAACTGAAAGTACATGTGGAAGTGGCAGCAGGGAGATAATGGGTTTTAGAGCTGAAACAAATGAACAGTGAGAACTTTACTGTTCATTAAGAGTTGAGTGCTGAAACAAGTTTTGAGTGATGTAGTTGTAATGGAGCAGGCCTAGATGACAACCTTGAGATCAGATTCAAATGATGACCCACAGCAGTTTGGCAGAAAGTATCATGGATTGTGACTTCTGTCAATAATGTCTCATGGAGAAAAATAATAAATGCTAATAAACTGTGCATTCAGGTCATGAATTTCAGTGGACGTGATCATCCAGGTGGGATTATTAGTTTGGATCACTTATTATTTTTGGAAGATTCCAATGAAAAGCAGATGTATGAGAGGCAGTGGAGGAGCATCGAATAACACTAGATAGATGTACAGGGTGATGGCTTTGATTTAGAATTATAAATGGAGATAAGCTAAGAATTCAAGCCAAAGCTTGATAATGGCAATTGAAAAATTAAAAGCTGCCTGTTGTACTGAATTCTAAATCTCCACATCTGAATGTCTGAAACCCTCCTGTGATCTTCATAAATTCAGCAACTTCTTTTGTGATGAACTGTAGAGAAGCTACTGCTGAATTAGTCCTAACATAGCTTTAGAATAAGGAAAGAAAGCTTTACATTTTTTAAAAAAGTTGCTCTTAAAGTCAGAACTAACAACACTCCATATTCTCAATTTCTTCTCTTCTGCTAACATGTCTCCTAACATCTGTTGGCTTGGCCTGCATTCTCTTTCTATTGCTTCTTGTCCTTGCTGACCACGTATTTCACCCTACTGATTTGTTGTTTTGTGGCAGGCATATCTAAATACTATTCCACAGGCCAAGCATGACCCTGGTCCTCGTTATTCCAGTTGATGAAACTTGGACAACAATTTTGTATTTAAACTTATTTTCCTTTTTGTCCAGTTGAATTTTATAGATCTTAAAGTTTGGAAAGAACTGCTCTTAGCATAATTACTTGGTCAGTAAATCCTAAATCAGAGCATCAGTTTCAAAAAATGCACTTTACAGACTTCATGTGGCCAAATCATACAGAACGTGAACACTACTGGTCTGTATCTATCAGACAATTTGTGACTTTCAGAAGTACAATTTGACTTGATATGCACATGAAATACTGAACCATTATAATCTTTTTATACTACTCCTTTACTATTGATATTATCTGTACTCAAATCACCTTAATCAGATCATGCACGTGCCAAGAATGTGACAGATCATTTGTGTCAAGGAATATAAAAATAGCAAATTATTTATTTTACCTTTTTTTTGAGTGATTTATAGCAAAAACTTATTGATTCCTATGATGTTATCATAGTGTAATCTACTTTCAATTTTACAGAGATGTTGTATTTAGTGATGTGAATTCCATCGTTCGCTACCTGGCTCGGGTAGATACAGAAAATAAGCTCTATGGCTCCAATCTGCTAGAACACGCTGAGGTAAGAGTTTGAGCCTCTGTAGGCTGAGATAATGGCAAATGCATCATCTTGGATGTCTTCTGCATTCAATCTCCATTAATTTCTCACCACTGGAACAAAATTGACCAACATTGAGTTTAATGGCCTTAAATATGCAGATGTTTCAACTGAAAACAGTAGCTTTTTCTATGCTAATTTTTAAACCTGGTCTTGGCAATGGAAAAGTATAATCATCAGGAGCAGTATTTTTTTAATGGAAATATTTGCTTTTTAGAATAAGGTATCTGATGGCTACATTTGTCTTGAAATTCACTAGGTCCTGGTTGCTGGCTAATTGTTGCATCTATTTTCATAAGAGAATTTAATCAATATTTAATTGGGTGTGTTGTTTTAACTGTCCTGCTTCGGCTGGAAGAAAGTGACTTGTTTCTTCTTGTCTTTTAGCTCTTCTTCTGTCACTAGGATCTACAAACCAAATCAATGAGATCCTTAAAAGTACCACATCTTCCAATTTCCACAGCCATTAATATTGTCGAAGTGACAACTTAAAATTGTCCATGTTGACTTTTTGTATGCCTGCTTCTCTGGGTTCTAATAAATTTACAGAAAATATTTAGCATTTTCTTTTGATCCAAACACTTGACTAAACTTTCGCTCAAAAATTGTAACTATAAGGTGCATATTGCTGACGGAAGACCATTTTGACCCTGACACAACAGGCTAAGCACTGACCACCAGCAGCGGTAATGAGATAGAGCCCAAGCCCCACAAATCTACATGTGAAGTCATAGTAAATTCAATAACTTTAAATTGCATCACTTCTCAGGAACTGTGGAAGGCCAGTTAAAAGCATATCATTTCCCTTGAATTAGGAAGAAAATTAAAAGACTAATAATACTGATTTGAACCCCTAGTTGAAAATAGAGTTAGCCATTAACCATCTGATGGATTCTTTTGGCTGTGAGAATCGCTTATGAATACCTGCATTTATCATTCATGGAAACTTTGTTAGTTTTTGATTTTTAGACTTTGTTAGACCAATTAGATTTTACAATTTTTTAAATTCCAGCCCATAGCAGCCTAATCCTAACTGTCCTGGGGCTGTACCTATGCTTCCTTGATCACCAGGTTTTTGCTTTTCATGGTATTTTCCCACTCCCAGTGGACCCGACTGCTGGAATTTGTGCTTTATCGATACTCTGTCTCGATAGAAAATGTCGACAGCTGACATTCTAATCATGCATGCTCTGACTATACCTGTTTCCTTTCTCACTCTGTTCTTTTCCATACCACCACTCTTACACCCCATCATGCTCTCCCTACCCCATGTTATTACTGTTGTCAATTTTTCTTACTGCAAGTTTCTTTCCCCTTGAAAGTTTATTAATCACAAATCTGTAACAAAGATGATTCATCTGATTTTTTTTTTTTGTTTCCCTGGAACTTCCTTCCTGGATAAGAAAGAAAGGAACATGAGCTGACTCCTTTCGCAACAGGTTTCTTTGGCTTTGATGTTTTCTACAATTCTGGAAGTTGTTAGAGCCCAGTTTCTTTTAAGTACCATTTTAGTGCATAATCGCTAGTATGCTTTTAGGCATGCAGGTGACTCTGAACTTATTACTTGTTATCCTCTTCCAGAACACTGAACTGTGAATTACTGTCATCTCCTTTGACAATGTCTGGTCCTGTGCATTTCTAAACCAATTACAATGATGTAGTCGCCCACTGAAGCCAAACATTTTCTCTTTAAATCATGCTATCTGACCAGCAGTTTATCCATTTTCCATTTTTCCCCTTCTGTTTTCAACCCTGGAGCTCTGAACTTCCTCAACTCCTTAGCTCTTGTCAACGATTTCTTTGACATTTCCCAACTCTGTCTGCTTTTTACGTCTTAGTACTTTTCTATCTAATTATGCAGCCAGTGAATCACCTGCAGTGGTTTCTCCTGTTGCTCCTGCACTGTTGCCTCTTGCCCTTCTGTTTTTCTTTGCTCCCTCCCATTTCACATGTACATGCTGCTCCTTGATATCTGAAAGCAGAATGTTGCTTGCCACTACCTTGTCAACACTTCTGTTTGCCCATTCCTGATCTTTGATTTTCATACTGCTTTTGTTTGATTTGTGGTTGGAACATGAGCATCACTGACAAAGCAGCATTTGTTGCTTATCACTGACTTTGATTCTTTAACTGCTACCATCCATGTGATTCACATGCTGCCACAGTGCTGAGAGTGAGTTCCAGGATTTTGACCCAAAATGTCTGATATTCAGTGTTGTATTAGTCAAAATTTTCTCTTGAAAATATTGGGAAGGCTGAAGCCGCCTTGGTCATCATCAAAAACTCCATTCCTATCCCTTAATGCTCTGTATCTTCCTGGACACTGTCTTGAGGCTGAGCCACACTGTTACAACCTGGCCCTAAACTGGAAGTTCTAACTCTTACCCTCTCTAAAAGCAAGGCTATCTACTTGCATGTCCATAACGTTGCCCATTTCTACCTCTGACTTGGCACCTTTGCTTAAACTCATACCTGTGCCTTTGTTCTTTCTATTTTTGACTTTCAAAGTATTCCTCTGTAACACAATATAATTCCCTCTAGTTATCTCAGACTGAGTGTGGGAAATTGATGAATCAACACAAGAAAATTTGTATGGGGAAGGAAAGAATTGATTTTACTGTACTGAACTCTTGAAAAAGCATTCATTTCAAGATGTGAATTTTAAGTGTTTGACATAATTGAAGGCTGAGTAGTGCAAATCGTGTCAATATTTTTAAACTACATTTGCAAGATACTAAGCACCCCACATTTGATCTGATTACTGCATAATTATCAAGTTTTTTTTCTATTTTGTTAGCTTAATTTTTGTCTGTTTTAAAAAAAAATCCACAAGGGTCAAAATTTGTAAATCCATTGAACCCCTACAGTGATCAAAGCAACCAACTTCTTGTAGTTTTTGAGGTTCTAAGTGACAGTCTTTGCCTGTCCAGATAACTTAATTTGCAACACCAATAATATGATTTCAATTACTGGCATATTTTCATTTTGAACCAATTGATGATCAAAATTTTAAAAAAAGCAAATGTATTTTGTGTGGGCTTCATTATTTTGGACCATTCCAAACTTGTTCTTTGGAAATTACACACAGTTTGATGTTTTTGAAGATTTTTTTTCTTCAAATTTAAGCTTTAATCAAGACCTTAAAGATCTACAGTTTTAAAAACGTTGGTGTTTAAATAACGGTGGATTCTGTCAATTTAAATTTGTATGTTCAAACATTGTCTTGGCTTTCGCTGTGCCTGAGGTGGTGGTGAGAATTTTTATGGCATTTGTTTTATTGCATGTAACTTGCACCTATCGTCCACTAAATGACTTGTATTCTTTGGAACTGGTTGTGAATCTGAAGAATAAAGGACATATACATTGAATTTGTGCTCTGCTGCCACGTCAGCTTGTCTATTTGTAAAATTCTGTAACTCTACACCGATTGAGTCAGATGGAAGTAATTTGTGTGTGCCACTTAATTTTTTTTAGCCTTACTGGTGCAGTGGATTTAGAAAGTTTAAGTTAGAAAACTAATTATCTACAATGTATTATTTTGTCAGTTTTTGCCTGCATTACATTTAAAGGTTTACATTTCTTAGGACTATCTGCATCATTTTCTATGTTTTAAAAAAGGAAGTTAGAAATTTCTGTAAGAAAACAAACTTAAATATCATGGTAACTTTATTATATCAGTGCCTGTTCTTTTAGTCATCCTCACCTACCAGCCTCGGCAACAATTTCATTTGCTGTTAAATGGTTATTGCTAATGTGTGAGCTTTGATAAAGAGCATAAAATAACTCTTTGATTCATTGACTGAAGGTTCTTGGATCCATATCCCATTGTATGGTCCTGGTTTCTGGGGAGAAAGTTAGATGAGATTGGAAAAGCACAATTCTTTCTTTACGATAAACAGTTAACATGGTGGAAGAAGAAAATGCCTGCATATTAAGGTCCAGTTTTCTGTTATAATAAGGCTTTCAGGAAAGCAACATAGCAAACTTTTTTTTTTTTTGGCAGTTCACTAGGGGTTGAATGAAATGTAAGGGTTGGGATCCAAAATCATGTTAAAATGTTCAATCAAATAATGAGTGACTCCCAGTTATATCCAAGTTGCAATATGTTTGGAGATGATGCAACATTGGAATAATGTGTGATGATTACAGTTGTCTGTGATAGGGCATTGCTGGTTGGATATGAATTGACACTGATTTGTGTGTATGGACAGTGTTACAGAACAGAGAAATTGAATATGGCATTTAAACAAATCAACTTGTATAATGTAAATTTAGTGATGGTATTGTCTGCGTGTTAAAAGGTCATGCATTTTCCTGACCATGCAATCCAGATTTCTAGTAGCCTGACGTTCCATAATTTATTATGATGGTAACATGTATGTAATGATCAGTTTTTTTTTAATTTCTGAAAGCCATTTGTAAGTTACAAAACTTTTTGACATCTTTATTTCTAACTTGTATCAAGAAGTGATCATCTTTTGTGTCAGGTAGGATTGTAATTTTACATTGGGGTTAGAGTCAAAGCATTTGGCTTTTCTGAAACAAAATAAAATCATCATTCTTTTTAGATACTTTAGGAATGCAGGCTTTATCACATACTACAAAGTAACGGGTTCCTTGCTTTCACCATTTCTTTTGCAGTATTATCATAACAATGGGAATTATCTCTCGATAAATGTCATGAACCAAGGATTATTGGCCTTAATAAAAACTTGCATTAACAAAAACCTTTTAACATTTTACCTGTGCAGATATGGCCACTGTCAAATGATGAACTTTAAACTATTTTTTGCAATAATCCTTCTGTTGGCAGGTTGATCATTGGTTGGAGTTCAGCAAAACAAGGTTGGCAAGTTGTGCTCTGTTCCCTGCAGCAATACAAGAGCTGGATTGTGCACTTTCTCTCAGGACATTCCTGGTTGGACATGAATTGACACTGGCTGATCTCTGTGCATGGGCAGCATTGAAAGGTTGGCAAGAGAATAGTGTTATTTAAAATGTGTTCTCTTTTGTAAATTGCATCTCTGCTATATTTTGAAAAGCTCTAATTTAGCCTGAATCTTGAAGGTGCAATTGTAAATTTTTGATGAAGTAATTACATGTGGAAAAAAAAATCTAACTTTGTTTGAGGAACTAATCATATTTTTACAGACATGACTTCACAGTACCATTTACAATTGGTTTAATTTTAATTTGCTTGGACTACAGTAATAATACTTGGAAATCTTTAAAGTAATCGAAAACCAACATCTGTGATGAACAGACTATGGGGCTGGTCAACCATGTAATATATAGTTTTCCCTACAACTTTCGTAGACTTACCTTTTATAAAGGTCTGTAATGCAGAAAAATATCCAATATGTTTTTATAGGCATTACTTATAAAAACCTTGTGAATCGGATCAGAATTCAGTTAGGGTTGTCAATTTTTTAAGGTTACGAATGGTTTATATATTTCAAAGCATGTCTTTCAGATTATTTGCATAATTTTAAGACTGGTTTAATCTGTAACATTGTTCAATGTTTACTGTGGTGCTACATTTTTCACTCTGCATAGTGAAGAAAATGTAATAATATCTGTCCTCACCCAGTGCTGCTGTTGTGTTACACTCTTATCTGATGTGTTGCTGTCCTTGGTAATTGGTTGGGTGATGAAATATAGTGAATTACTGCTGAGTGTTTTTCATCCTGCAAGTAGAAGAAACAAAAACCAATACAAATAAATCTATGGCCACTGGATGTACTAAAGCACTTTGCAGCCAATGAAGTACTTTTGAAATGTCATCATTGTTGCAATGTAGGAAAAAAAAGCCACTTTGCACATTGTACAGTCCAACAGAGGGCAACATGTAAACATTCTCCTAATTTTGTTCTTGTGAAATTGATTGATGGATAAATATGGGTCAGGGCAGCATGGCCACCTCCCCAGTACTTTGAAGTATATCTTTTTAAATCTTTCATGCCACACCTTGGAAGGCAGAGAGAGCTTCACTTTTTAATTATTCATCTGATAGATGGCATCTTCAATAGAGCATTCCAAGTATTGCACTGTCGTTTCAGGACTAAATTTTGTGCTCAAACCCTACACTGGGATTGTAACTCGGTTTCGAGGGGCTAGAGTGCTCCCAACTGAGCCACTCTTGACAGGTGCTAAGATTGTAATGGTTCATTCCAACAGTAAAATACTAGATTAAAGATTAATAGATATCCACAAAGGCTGCTATTTGGATATAATGAGCATCAACAAAGCAAAAATGTCAATAAGGTTTGAAGCCAAGGTTTAATAATAATCTGCACACTTATTAATGGGATGTAAAATTAGAAAATGCAAAGACATTAGTTTGAGGTCTTCAGTTGAACTTTGTTTTGTACTCTTAAAAAAGTACACATTAAAGATATTAAACATGTTTAAACAATTTGCTGTTATCCTAGATGTAGGTGTGTAAGTCAACCTTTGCAGCTGCATAGCCCCTTCTAAAATGGGGTATTGGCTTGTATGTTAAGTGTAGAAGTGAATTGCTGATGTGATTGGCTGTCATTTTGAAATATGGTAAAAGTATGGTAATGCATATTAAATTAATGTAGCATGTTTTATTGAATAAATTCGCTACAAAGTTAGTTTTAACTATAACCAAAGCATTTCAAGATTCGCCAAATCCATGGTCTTTGGTGTCCCATGTAAAGAGTTTCATCAAGTTATTCTGATTCAATTCAAGAGTGGCCTCACCTTGAGGATCCCAATCTGCATAGATTTTGTGCTTTTGGTTTCTGAATCAACTTCTTGCAAACATCTTTGCTGATGTGACATTCTGGGTTTTCATGTCTTTGCTGCTTTTTGACAGTGAATCACTGGAAACTGATCATTTTTGAATTGAGGTCACTTGCTACTGTGAACAATCTTGGCCCCCTGATGCAATATAGGACCTCTTTAGAAAGGTTCTTGTTGTGCATTGGTAGTGCTCCAACCTCTGATGCAGGAGGCCTGGGTACAAGTCCCACCTGCTCCAGATGAGTGTAATAACCTCTCTGAACAGATTACTTAAAATATCTACAAGCCCTCTTCCACAAAGCACTGATAGCAACCAGCTAAAAGCAAAGTAGTGTGGATGGTGGAGACCTGAAACAAATAGAAGGTGCTGCAGAAAGTCTGCAGGTCTGACAGGACCTGTGAAGAAAGAATGAACCTTTTTGAGTCCAATGTGTTTGTGCTTCGAAACTGTGAACACCAACTAGCTGTTGCTCTGATTTAGCTTTGTAGAACTCAGGGTTGATTTGATTCACTACAGAAATACAATGCATAAATCCATGCTTAAGTAATCATTCTAATGATTTTAGGGCCCATTCAATCGTGTGTGTTCTAAATCAATTTTGAACAAAAAATGATTAAATAATGGTTAGTTCTTGAAGGAACAAGGATAAGATGGGTAACATTCCAACTACTTCCGGTTTGGCATCCTGGCGCACATGCAGACATTCATGTCATTTGGATCTTGTAATGCAGCTCAGGGGATGACAAGAAGAATTTTGTCCAGAAACTTTTTGGGAGGAATTGCTCTTTCAGCTTCTCCGTTACGCATGGGATCAGAAAAAGAATTCCTCAGAAATGTGGCAAAGGGTTTCACAAGCTCTACCCCAATTGAATTGCAAACAAAACAAAATTGCCACATCTTCTGATGGCAGTGAAATCAGACGTGTGATTTCCAGATGATCCCAAGTAGTTAACTAAAGATGTGACTTCCCAGAAGAGATTTTGAGGAAGTGTCTCACCTTATAATTTAAGTGACCAATTAAATTCAAACACTTTCTCAAGACTCCAAATAAACCAATTTTCACAATCCCTTGGACTTGAATCCTCAAAAATAACAATAAACACCTTCATAACAACACCTACCTTCTAAGTTGGAGAAATGAATTCCTGGATTTGATAGTGGGATTATCTCTAGACTATTAATCCAGAAACTCAGCTAATGTTCTGAAGGTGAGTGTTGGAATCCAGGTGGCAGATGTTGGAATTTGAATTCAGTAAAAATCTGGAATTAAGAATCTAACGATGTCCCTAAAATCATTATCAATAGTTGGAAAAACCCATTTGGTTCAGTAATGTCCATCAGGGAGGGGAATCTGCCATCCTCATCTGGTCTGGCCTTTCTGTAACTCCAAACCCACAGCAATGCAGTAAACATTCAATTACCCTGTCAAATGGTCTAGCAAGCCATTTCATTGTATCAGTCACCAAGGGCAATAGGAATGGACAATAACTGCTAGCAAGCCAGCAATGCCCACATCCCGCGAATGAATAAAAAAAAATTAAATGCACTTCATTGCAAAATGTGAAGAAATAATATGTGAAATAATACTGAACATATTTGCCCATTCATTCTCATTCACTACATGTATGAAACTCATGTCTGGTACCATTTTGGTACTTAGATAATTCACAGTGAAGTTCCAGTCAAAGCATCAGAAATTACATTGGCCATATTGCAGAGAAAAACAATCTATTAAGGACTATAATAATAAAACCCATAGAAAAAGCCTGCCATTCTGGTTTTTGAAATTTTCTATTAAGGCTAATGAGATGATCAGTACATACCAGTGTTTCTCAGGAACTGTAGTGGCATATACTTTAAAATCTTTAAGAGCCAGTATCAAACCCAGGGATTCTTTTCCACTGTGGAGTGTCACTTTGTGATTTAGCTCTTGGGAAAGATAACCAACTGGCTTCTGTGTGCCCTCCCCTCCTCCATGTTGTAGAACTGAACTTACTCCCAGGTCACTGGTATCAATTATTACCTTGGTGAAATTTGTGATGGCCAACTTTGTTTTGTTGATTAAAATTGCTTTCAGCCTCTTAAGATGCTTGACATTCCCCTGCACACCATCTTGGCTTTCATTTGCCAATTCATCAGTGGAGCAGCTGTGCTGAGGCAGTTTGATACAAAGTTGTGGGAGAAACGACACGTCCCCAAAACCTTCATGATTTCTTGTTTATCCTTGGGGATAGGAGCGCCACTAATGCTTGTACTGCTGCTGTTCTTGACAGAATTTGCCTTCACTTTATGTCTGACATAAGTAAATGTGCAAAAATGTGTAACTTTTGACAAGGTTGACATCATCACCACATCAACAACTGTAATTTTCTAAATGAAGCTTCAAATTCCAAGTTGTCCCTCCAAGTGTCACTGTATACCTGTACATTAAGGTAAACCACACAGTTAGGGATGCTTGCTACCACTAGGTTCATCAGTTGGTGGGAAGCTTCTGGGGTATTTTTACCCCAGAATGTTATCACTCAGCATTGGGGAGAAAAAACAAAGGCTGATATTTCTTTAGCTTGTTTAGAGTGTTAAGGGAACTTGCCAGTATCCCCTTTAACAAATCTATGTTGCTAAGAAACCTGGCACTGCCAGCACTATCCCTACAGTCTTCTAAGTGATGAATTAGGTAGGAGTTTGCCTTTATTGCTGACAAACCATTCTGTAGTCTGCAGAATCTGGTTGAAACATTGGGCTTAGACACAAACACAGTGGGGAGCTGCAGTGGCTTTGACTAAATTCATTTAGGTGATTTCCAGTATTTAATAGATTTCTGCTTTAACCTGGGCTTAACTCCCTAACTTAAGTAATAAGGTTGTTGTGTTTTTGGAGGATACTCTTCCACAACCATATGATATCGGCCCATAGTTGTAAACCCTGGTTTGGTCCCTTTGGAATGCTTGTAAATTCTGAGTACCCTTGTTATGCCTCTCGTTCTACATCTAAATATGAAAGTACGGTTCTAACCTCTCAGTGGTGACTAAACCAGATAGCAGGTGGTTAAATTTTGGAATTTTCCATGTCTTGCTTTGTCTATTCCTCACTATCTCTTTTGTTCTAAAGTCTTGACTATCTGATACTATATACCTGTGCTTCCTTAACCACCACCTGGCGTTGGTTTCAACGTGTAGATGTGACACAGCTGATTCTTTTTTTTTCTGGCAACCTACGTTGTCAGTGAAATCACTGACATTCCCAATCTTTTGTCTCCCTGTATGGACCACTGAACCATGCTGACCTATATTTGATACTGCTGTTTTAAAGCCTGTTCTGCCTGTAGGAAATAGGCTGAGGACTTTAACTGTATTGCATACAGCCTACTCAAATTCCTGAAGTTGTAGACACAAAATTAGAGGCTTGATCGGATTGGATCTCCATCAGTAATCCACATTGCAAAGAAACTGGATTAACTTTTACTATTGCTTCAGAAATTTATTCTCAAGAGAACAGAGTAATCATATCCATAACAGTAAGGATATACTTGGTTCCTTTGTTTTTGGTTAAGGCCCCACCAGGGATACCTCTGTGCTATTAAGTGGTTCCACCAAAAGCTGATGTAGGGTTTAGAGGTGTCTGCTTGATTGTTAGTGTGGTTCTCCCTCAATCTGTGACATATGAAACATTTTACAAGGCATCACATTCTTATGAAGTCCTGGCCAGTAAGAATGTTGATTAATGTAAGCCGGGTCTTCCAGATCTCTAATAAAAACTGAAAGAACTGCGGATTTTATAAATCAGAAACAAAAACAGAAGTTGTTGGCAAAGCCAAGCAGGCCTGGCAGCATCTGTGAAGAGAAGTCAGTTTACATTTTGGGTCCGGTGACCTTTCCTCAGGAACATTAACTCTGACTTCTGTTCACAGATGCTGCCAGACCTGCAGAGCATTTCCAGCAATTTGTTTTTTTTTCTTCCAGATCACTACATGACCTTAATATCTCTATATTTGAATGGCACCCCCACTATCCGGTGAAACATATCAGTTTGTTGTCGTCAGGTTTCTGAGGAGATCTCTGGTTCCTCAACAGAATGCCATTTTTAAATGTAGGAGCGCTTCGGAACACCATCTGCTTCACTTAGCTTGAGGGATTGTGCTACATTAGTTAGCTCTAGATTGGCTTGCAGAGCTTTGATTGGAGAAAATTATTGGACATTTCCTTCGGATTGTTGAAAACCCCAAAAGATGTTTCGGATAAGCAAATGTCTGTCTACGGTACCGATTTTGCTGCCTTTGATAGAACTTGTTTGTTATCTGCTTGGGTTACTATGCAAGAAAGTCTTGGAACTTTCCTTTTCTCTTGCAAATGTTTTTTCCTTTTCCTCAAGTTTACATTTTCTCATTTCCAGCTTTTTTTTCTTATTTTTCCATTGTGTTTTCTATTTCATGCTGATTCATATGCAGTTACATTCTAGTTAATTCAACTGACTTACCATCTGGATTAAATTTTTCTTTTCCCACATTTAAATACTGTCTCACAATGTGCCTGCTTTGTCAGACACTACTTTTAACTCTAACTCCATTTATTCTGCAGATCCAGTTGACCTCCCCTTTAGTGAATCTCTTGGGGATAAAGCTTCCCTCTCTCAAGATTATAGCAACTGACCAAAAAGAATGGACTTATCAGCATTAATGCACAAAAAACCTGGCAGTGTTCCCTTCATCCTTTTCAGTTATTGCTATCCCATTTCTGATTGGTGTCCAAGATCACCCAAAACCAATCCTGTACAACAACTGGAGTTGGAGGAGTGCACTGTCTGCCTCCGATAGACTTTACTGTTACGTATACCGAAATAACACTGTGGAAAGCTTTGTTTACCAGCAGTACAGACAGATCACAGCAAACAAAGGAAGTAGAGACGTACAGGTTACATTGCAGGTTACATATTTGAAGCTACAGTCCATTCAGCAGTCTGATAACAGCTGGAAAGAAGCTGTTCCTGAACCTGCTTGTGCATGTGTTCAGGTTTCTGTACCTTCTGCCTGATGAAGAGGTTGCAGGAGATCATTACCAGGGTGCGATGGGTCTTTGATGATGTTGGCCACCTTTCCGTGGCAGCGAACCCATGTAAATAGATTCCGTGGATGGAAGTTTGGCTTCTGTGATGGTCTGGGGTGTGCACATCACCTTCTGTGGTTTCTTGCAGTCCTGGGCAGAGCAGTTGCCATACTAATTCGTTGTGCAACCGGGCAGTATGCTTTCGATGGTGCATTTTCAGAAGTTGGTGAGGGATCTTGTGGATATGCCAAATTTCCTGAGCCACCTGAGGAAGAAGAGGTGCTGTTTTGCCTCCTTGACTGTTGCGTTTATACGAAAAGTCCGGGGACAGGTTGTCAGTTATCCTCCCTCCAAGGAACTTGATGCCCTTCACTCTCTCTCAACCTCCGTTCCGTTGATGTAGATGGGGACGTGTTCTCCTCCTTTCTTTCTGAAGCCGATGATCAGTTCTTTAGTTTTGCTGACATTGAGAGACAGATTGTTTTCATTGCACCACGTCACCAAGCCCTCTATCTCCCTTCTGTATTTTGACTTGCCGTTGTTAGATATCCGTCCCACTATGGTGGTGTCTTCAGTGAACTTGTAGACGGCGTTCGATTGGAATTTGGCAATACAGTTGTAGGTGTACAGGGAGTACAGTAGGGGGTTGAGGATGCATCCTTGGGGGACGCCAGTGTTAAGTGTTATTGTGGAGGAGGTGCAGTTACCTATCCTCACGGATTGTGGCCTATGTATCAGAAAGCAGAGGATCCAATTGCAGAGGGCGGAGCCGAGACCAAGGTCACGCAGTTTTGAGATCAGTCTGCTGGGGATAATGGCGTTGAAGGCGGAGCTGTAGTCAATGAGCAGGAGTCTGACGTAGGTGTCTTTGTTGTCCAGAAGTTCCAGGGATGAGTGCAGGGCTAGGGATATGGCACCTTCTGTAAATCTGTTATGTCAGTAGGCAAACTAGCGGATCAAGACAGGCTCGGAGACTGGAGTTGATGTGGGCCATGACCAGCCTCTTGAAGCACTTTGTAATTATTGAAGTCAGAGCTATTGGTCGGTAGTCATTAAGGCACATTGCATGTGTTTTCTTGGGTACGGGCATGATGGTGGTCTTCTTGGGCTTGTGGGAGTTTCTCTTGCTGTCTGTCTACTCCCACTGCTCCATTAGTCACAATATAAATGTAAATACTCTACCTAGATACTGATATGACCAATTATTTGCTTTTTCAATATTAAGCTTCACATGAAAAGATCAATCAACCAGACCTCCTAAGTGAACAACAAAAGTGATTTACTACAAAAGTATGAGATCACAAGGTGTAGAGCTGGATGAACACAGCAGGCCAAGCAGCATCAGAGGAGCAGGAAGGCTGACGTTTCGGGCCTAGACCCTTCTTCAGAAAAT